AGAGAGAGAGAGCGGGGAGAGCAGGGGGACAGAGAGGCAGAGACGAAGACAAAGAGAGCAGCGAGACAGACACACAGAGACAGAGCAGCTTCTTTATTTTAAACCTGAGCTGTGTACCATCCTGCTAGTCTTCCCTGTAATATGTTACATCCTGTTTAGTATTGACAAAGTTATCTAAATACGTATTTGATTTCTGTTAAGGGCACTTGTAAATTATGTGAGGCTGTAAGTGAATGTAGAAAAGGACTTTGCAGTCTGTTCAATAAAGCTTCTTTTAATTTCAGATAACTTTCTCCAGGATTCTGTGTAACTGAAATTTAATTTAACAATCTAAATGTATTGTATAAACAGTTAAGGTTATGATCGAGTATTAAGCACCATGTGAGCAGAGACCTGGCCTGTCTTATTCACCACCGTACCCCTAAAACCTAGAACTTTAAGCCTGAGCCTGTAGTAGGTATTTGATATGTTACTCTTTAATGATTAAATCTCTATTTACAGTGAAAACTGGAAGAATTATTAAAGTGGTACTTTATACCTAGATAATGGCATGCTTTTGACAAACTCAAATTCCTTAATTTTGTTCAGTAAGTTGAGTGCTAGAGATACAGAAATGCAAAAATATGGTTCAGATCCTTGTTCATTTTATTCAACAAATACTGAGTCCAGTTACTTCATGCCAAAGTACTATGCTAGGAGTTGGGAATACAGGAGTATGTAGTCATGGCCCCTGCCTCTGTATTTTTTTAGTTTGGGAAGAAAGGATGGGAGGAGAGGAGTCAAGCTGGAGACTCAGATGCAAGAGTTGTAAACCAGTTGATGTATTTGTTTGGCTGGTAAAACATTTTGTTTGTCTTTTTTTCTGTTGTCCCTCCCCATAGTGTCACAGTAATCATGACTAATCTGGTCCCTGTAAAGATTTAAGGTGTTGACCTTTGGCTTAGAATACAGTGGGAAGAATGACATGTGGGTAATGAGATTACAATCTGAAGATTGCCACCACAGCCCCATGTGCCAGCTGCAAGGAGACTTAGGACAACCAAGTCCTTTGTTGAGGAAGTGCAGAGTAGCCCCTTGGTATGGAGAGAACTGGATGGGGAATTCAGAGCCAGATTCAGATGGGTGCCCTTGGCCACATGACCTAACTTGCACCTCCAAGCTATTGGTCTGTAGTGAGAGCGTGTGTCTCAGCTGTGCTCCAGAGTCCTCAGACCCACCCCCTCCTTCTGAACCCCCAGCAGGAGCATCCCTGTTGCTTCTGTCCTGCATAAGAGGCTTTTGTGAAGGACTTGTTTGAACGGTGTTTTCCTTGGCTAAAAAAAGTTTTAAAATCTCAGGACTAGATGATCTAAAGGTCCATGCATGTTCACTGTTAATATGCTGCCCCCCAAAACAGCAGCAACTTCTTGTCAGGTAAAAATGCCTTTTGCCCTGACACAAGGTCATTTGATTGAGATGAAGGTCACACAGAAGGTCAATGATGATTTGAGTTGAGAACCCAAGAGTTTTTGTTCTTCTAAACTACTTTTTCCACCAGTGGTCCCATATGACAAAGCCTTGATTGAATTCTTAAAAGCCTTTCTTGCATCTTCTGAAGGACTTTGGAGAGTCACAGGCTTTCTGTTGTTTTGACATCTGTATTCTTTACATTTTCCTCCAAGCGGTCATCATTTCTAGAATATTTGTGTAAAAATATACTGGAATTGAGGGCATCCTTCTTTGCATATAGTTTGTTCCATCTTTTCCACTTTCCTTTTACTTGGTTCATAATAGAATCTGATTATTGTGGAAATAATTGGGATCTCAGTGAGCAACAGGAACTATTTACACTGTACCTCTTGCCAGGAATTAGACCCAAGGGAAGGGAACCAACCTCAGAAGGAAAAGAAGAAAGATTGCATGCAAAGTTGTTTAGCACTTACTGGGATGACCTTACAAATTTCTTTATCCCTTTGAGCCTTAGTTTTGTCTTCTGTACAGTGGAGATCCTAATACCCCCCATTGAGGGTTTTTGTGAAAATTAAAGGATGTAAAGAGGTAAGGATGTGTTTTAACTTGGTGTTTGGTCTGTAGTAGGTACTTAACAAGTTAGAATCCATCTCTTCTTTCCCGTTTTCTTTCTTCCTTAGGAATTTTCCTTCCTCCTTCCATCCTCTCTTTTCCATAAATATTTATTAAACTCCTACTGATGTATTCCAGGCACTGCTCTCGGTGCTGGGGCTAAAGCAGTGAGTAAAACAAAGTACCTGTCTCCATGGAGCATGTATTCCAATATCTCTTCCTCACTAAGATGTAGCTACCATCAGGGACTAGAATACAGAAGTACCTTCCAACTCAATAATAAAAAGACAACCCAAATAAAAAATGGGCAGAGGATTTGAATAGCTATTTCTAGTCGATATAAGTGGCCAATAAACACATGAAGTGGTGCTTATTTTCACTAGTCACCAGGGAAATAGAAATCAAAACCATAATGAAGAAAACACATCACACCCATTAGAATGACTGTGATCTGCAAGGGAGACAGTAACAAGTTGCCAAGGATGTGGAGCAATTGGAATTTGCATACGTTGTTATTAGGAATATAAAATGGTGCAGCTGATTTGGAAAGCAGTCTGGCAATTCCCCAAAATGCTAAATGAGTCACCCTTCAACCCAGCAGTTCTATTCCTGGATATCTACCCAACAGAAATGAAAATATATCTCTTTATAAAAACTTGTACAAGAATGGTCAAGCAGCATTATTCAAAATAGCCAAAAAGTGAAAACAGCCTAAGTGTCCATCACCTTATGAATGGATAAAAATGTGGTTTATCTGTAAAATGGAGTATTAGTCATCAATAGAAAGGAATAAATTACTGTCACATGCTACAGTATGGATGAACCTTGAAAACCTTATGCCCAATAAAAGAAGCCATTTACAAAAGACTGTATATTATATGATCCAGTTTATAGTAAATGTCCAATAGGCAAATATATAGAGACAGATAGTAGATTAGTGGTTGCCTTTGGCCGGGAGTGGGGCTAGGAGAGCAAGAGGTGAGTAATGGAGAGGTAGTAGGTGTGGGGTTTGTTTTGGGTTGATGAAAATATTCTAAAATGTTGCACAATTCTAAATATACTAAAACCATTGAATTGTACACTTTAAGTGGGTGAAACTTGCAGTATATAAATTACATCCCAGTACAGCTGTTAAAAATGCAGCTATCCTTTTCTGATCTAACGTCAACCATTTTCTGGATTCTTTGTCCTCAGTGTATGGGTGCGCTCTGCCTTCCCATCCTAAAGCAAAGCAGGACAAAAATACAAACCCCACCTGGGCCCCCAGCTGAGGCTTCTAAAGGTTAGAAAATAATTGCGAAATACTTCATTGTAGAGGAGTTAGAAATTAATGGATCATCCATCAGAAAGGAGAAAAATTTTGGACATTTAATCCCATTATGCAGAGATAATCATTATTACCATCTTATGTAATTTTAGCATTCATTATTGAAAACCTTGTGTTTATTTTCAGAGAGGAGTACTGTTACAAGGGAAAGTTTATGTTAAGTTACTATACTAAGAACATTAGAATATCTTTTTAAAGAAAAAATACCTTAATCTTCTGTAATAATCTTAAGTATGGTGGGCTTTATGCATGATTTGATTTAACTTTTTGTTTGGAATTGTCAAAACCAAATTTGAGGTCATTAAAACCTAATACTTCAGAAGCGTTCATGCTCATTAGAGCATAGATGGAGCACGTAAAGCCTCGCTACCTTTTAGGCTACACTTGCTATCCGGGTTTTGCTTAAGCACCAGCCTGATATCACAACAGGATTTCAGCCTTAAAGATTTTAGGGTGTGTTAAAGCCCCATGCCCTGTACAATACAAATGTCATAGATGTCGTGTAGCTTCTGTGGACTGTTCAGAAATCTGGCTGACATTGGCTGGAATTAGAATGTCAGCTGGTAAGATGGATTTCCTGCTTTAGAAATCATTTTGAGCTAATTTCATTGATCTTTTTTCCCTTTTGCATGTGCAGAGTTAGACTGGCTGAACAACCCAAGCTTCTGTGTTGGAACGGAAACATCTCTGAGCCAACAAACTGAAGAGGCTCCAGCCCCTGAGGGGCCACCTCTGACAAGGTAGTTACTTTGATAGATAGATTTTCAGTCTTTGTCAGTGTAGCTTGAATGATGCACCTTAGAAAATCCTGTGATAAAAGAGCTAAGAAAACATCTTCTTTTTATTTAAAGTAGTGGGATGATCTTTGACTATTTTCCCTTACCTCGCTTAGATAGATTATTCCCTTTTGCCTCTTTGCATTGCAGTGGCAGGTACATGACAGTTACTGGCAATAATTAAGCCATGAGGGAACTGTCATCATTGCAATCCTTAAGTGACTTTGTTAACCTTGTTAGTAACTTTTAGAATATTGTACCCTCAGCTATTTCTTTAGTTGCATTTTCAACACTTTTGTAAAAACAGAAGCTTGTAAAATATAACATAGGGTAAAATCTCATGAAAACTTTGGGGAAAGCAAAATGGCTCACATGTCTACCCAGCTTTGAAAGGATTTTGTTGTAGATCATTGAATTGTGAAATGAGCTCTCTTGAAAATGTAGACTAAGTGGTTTCATTAATATGATGATCCCTGCAAAGCCATGTTCTCTAAAAGTGAAAGAAGCGTTTGGAAATTGCTAATAGTTGATGCATGAAAAGGAGTTGTTTATAGATATTTCAGTAATGAGGAAGAACTCATTGTAACCTTTAAAAACAAGGACTAGAATTAAAAAAAATTTTTTTGACATAAAGCACATGCTGACATAATATGAGGAACTGAAAATAAACCTTTTAAATTAAAAATATATATACTACGTATGATAAAACAACTGGTAGGTTACTTTCATTTCAAAATTTATAGACACAAAAGTACAGATTTAGAAGCTTTTGAAATTAGAATTTCTTTACCTGGTGGTATTTTAGGTCCAACTCTTAAATCTTGAAGGTGAGTTGTAACCCCGGAAGGTACTGTACTGTTGAATATATGAGCAAATAATGAAAGTCTGTGAGGACATTTATAGAATTTTACATATTTGCTTTCTAATTTACATACCCTCTTCCCTAATTTCACTTTTGAAAGTTTATTCTGATGTTGATTTTTCCAAACAGGAGTCCTCTGAAATCAGAGCCTTCAGATGAAAGTGATACCAACAAACTGCTCAAACAAGTGAGCAGAAGAAAGAAGAAAGAGAAAAAAAAGAAAAGGAGGCATCAGCACCACAAGAAAACCAGGAGAAAATGCTCCCAGTCGAGGAGCACTGGCTCGGAGCCAGACAGTGATTCCGAAAATGACTCATCTGCCAGAAGCGTCAGTAGCAGTAAAAAGGAATCCAAGAAACCAAAGTATGTTTTCTATTTTCAAATACCTATGATTTTTTTTTATGTTGAACTTTTTTCCCCTTAGTTATTGCCACCGGTTAGACATTTGAATGTTTATTTAGCCAATCAAGATGGTGTCAATAGATATTTTACTAAAGCTTGGAGAAAAGATAGATGGAACTCTACTACCAGATCAACATAAGAAAAAGAAAAAAAAAACTTCCATTAAAAAAATTTGGCGCCATGATTTTATTTGAGAAATGTTATTTAGACACAATAATGACTTTATCAAAATCTGATTAAGGCAAAAAGTCTTTAGGATTTTTGGAAGATGGCAAATGTGCCACCCAGTGGGGATATGGGCCAGTTTACTGTGTAGTTAAGGGTTCCATCTATGAGGAGCTGTTGGCCTCCATGCTTATAAAGAATAAGATAAATGTCTTATTTCTCTTCCTTAATACATCTTTTCTCAGCCACTGACATCGACCCCTGTGTGCACACGTGCATGGACACACACATGCTGTTCGCGTGTATGTGCACTCGCTCTCTCCAGTTTCGGTTAATATAGGTTAAATAATAAGATTAATAGGGTTAAAAGAATTATTGCTTTTGTCCTCTCTTACTTCACATTTGTTGAGAACCAGTGCCTTGAAGCTCATGACCACAGTATCTCCATTCCTTTGGGGCTTTATTTCTCTCCACGTTTCACTCTGCTGTCTTGAGCTTATTGAAGGCATTCTGCAGAGTGAACACAGCATAGATACTTGATGAGGGCTTTTCTCTTTCTTTGTAGTGTAACGTCCTCCTCCACAGGCAGGCACTTTACCCATATTTGGGACAGGTGGCATGTGGTGAAACTACCTGAATTATTCCTCATTTAACTTTTTTCTTTGTTCATATGGTCTAGAAGAAAGAAAATTTAGGTACCTATCCAAGGCATTTAAAAAAACTAGTACTATAAAGATTTTTGTGAATTTTCATGGAGAGTTTGCTTGTTGTGCACTTAGAGGGCCGCTGGTGTCAGTGATTGTCACTGCAGCATGTCTGGGATCTGCCCTGGGGTTTGCCTGCAGAGAGGCGAACACCGGGGTTGTCCAGGGAGAACACTGCGGGCTCTGTGGCTCAGGGGACCCCTGTTTTTTTAGCCCCCTCTGTGTCTCAGGGGCTATACCTGTAACCTCAACTTGCTCTAGGAGGGAAAAATGAGCCAAGTGAAAAGGTTCTGGGTGTGACTGCCTGTGTGTGGGCAGGAACCCTCCTTGCCATTGAATGTCCCCAGTGGCCGGCATAGGGCCTGATACATAGTAAGCATTCAATACATTTTTGTTATGTGAATGAGTGAGTAGATTATCGAAATCTTGTTTTTTTAGCATATCTTCAAGGCAAAATACAGTAATCATTTTATCTTCTGAAAACTCACCTTTAGCTACTTGTCCTTTTTTTATAGCTGAGAAAAATAAGTTTTAAAGGATTTCCTTATTAACCCACAGAGGAATTGCCATTAGAACTTGGGAGTTATTTTCAGCCCATGCTTATAACCACATCAGAGGTGATCTTTTCAGCCTCTTGATAGGTTTATGATCCAGATAGCATGTTTAAGTTTGTTGATATTTTGCAGACTGTCTCCACTAGGATCAAAATAGATGGCTCTAGTCCTTCTGTTTTACTTCCTTATTATGAACTTCTGTAGTCTCTCCCGGGAAGGTGACGTGGAAGAATTGCTTGTTTTCATATAGACAGAGACTAAGATGTCTTTCCGTGATGTCAGGAAAGAGAGTCCATGGGGATGGGGGGGGCACCGTATGGAACTCTTCCAGGGCCATCAAGGGATGACTTCCCCAGAGGCTGCCGTTCCTCACTGACCTTCATTTCCTCGGGTGAACTCTTCTTCGCCTTCCCGGGGAGGCAGATCCTTGCTTGAACACCACCTCAGATACATCCTGCTTCTTGACCTCACTGCCCAGCAAGGGAGGGAGAAGGGCTTGTTTCCTCCCCCACGGTGGTCTGCAGCTGACCTTCCTTCTGTTTTCCCCATCTTTGCATTTCTTTCTGGAATGCATCAGTCTCTCCTCCCTTTGCTGCCCCTTACGGTTTTTGTCAACATAATTCCACAGTTCTGAAGGTGGATGTGTTAAAATGACCATATATTTTAACCCAAGATGTTATTCAGCTAATATTTATTGAGCAGCTACTTTGTGTCCCTGATATACCACTCTCTTGTATTCCAAGCCAGGAATGATTTAGAAGTCTCCAGAATCTTTATTTCCATCTGGGCAGAGCCAAAAAGCAAAGAATGGAACAACAGTTAATGGCTGTTTGACTACTGTGGCAGCTTCTTGTGTCAGCAGCATTATGAACTGATTTTCTTTAGAAGAAGAATGTTAGTAGATGGCAAAAAAACTTACCCTCCCTCCCCCTCACCTCCTAGGGAAATGGTTGTATTTGTATCTGAGCTGAAAGTCTGCTACCTCACATTGGCTCAAAGGGATAAATAAAGGTCTTACCTTAGAGGACTCCCTCTGCCCTTTATGTAGGAGGCGGTACATGTAGGCAAAACACCGCACACGAAGCCCAAACTATAAAAACGAGGCATACACCAAGCCTGAACCAGTCAGAACTGTGGCATTTGTTGTCTGAGTTGGAATAAGTCATGTGAACACTTTCACATAAATTAAGGGCATCCCATCATTTTTAAAAAAAGAAAACTTGTTTGTAAATACATTTGAAATCCACGTGACAATTAAGTAAAATATTTTAAAAGAACACCTACATCAGTTTAATTTCTGAGACAAGATGATTTTTTTTTTTCGTAAAATGACACTAGTGTTGACATTGTTTGCTTTATATTTTAAAACTTTTCCTAGAGCAGGAGTCCTCATCTCTGTGGCACTTAGAATTTCATGTCCTGAGTTTGATGCTGTGTGGAGTTTGAAATGTTGAACTTCTGTATTTCTGAAAATGTGAAATACATATCTGGAAGATTTCTAAGTGCTGCTTCCCTTTTCTTCTTCACCTTCCTTTGTTCCACAGTCAAGAAAATGCTGCTGCTGCTGTTCCTGGGCCTCGCTTTGTTTGGCTGGAGGACGTTCAGGCTGCGGCAGGAGACACCTTCAGAACAGATAAGAAACCCGATCCTGCAAACTGGGAATATAAGTCTCTCTACCGAGGAGATATAGCAAGGTATCCATTGCCAGGTCTTTGCCTGGTTTTCGCTGATGGGAAGTAACTTCTTTCTTCTCTGAACTCTGCCAGCACTCTGTCTGTCTGACCCCCTCCTTCCCTTATAGGTTTTTGGGTTTTAGCCATTTGTAAGTTGTTGAGGCACTTGTCTTACTTCACATTCTAAAATGAAAACTGAAACCTTGAGCTCAAGATCCAGGTTGGATTAATCTCATTTATCTGTGGTTTTTGGCATATTATCTGGAATAGTGGGTGTTCAGTAAATACTTGTTGAATAAGTGAATCAAGTAATACCTTGAAGTAGTTAATAATGACAGACTATCTGAAAACCATTTGGTCTAATCTGTATGCCATTTAAAAAAGTTATGAAAGCCTTTTATTAATCCACCCCCCGAGTATGCCATTCAAAAAATGACATTAAATGGCAATGACTTCTTCAAAATGTTTCCAGCATTCATCAACAGATAATCATAAAAAAAGGTGATGGTATTTGCTTCAGTAATGAGGTTAAATGTTTCTACTCTGTCAATCAGAAATATTTGAATACCTGTTAAATTCTTTAGACACTTAGTACTTTGTTAAGATGCCGTTGAGAACATAAGAACAGCCACAGTCAGCTTGCAGGGAATGAAAATGAGGGTAGAGGATCACGGGCTGTGAGACCCAGAGGCGACCTTGAGGATCATTACATTCCTGTAGGCTAACTGCTTTTTTAAATGAATTTCAGTGTCCATTTTCGGCACCTCCAGGTTTTAATAATTTGATTCATCATTGTTCTTCACCACAGAAGCAGTTCCAACTAAGATTTCCTTTATGATGAGTTTGTGTCAGTTATTTTTTAGTGCATATTTATATCTACACAGTGTTTACTGAAACATCATGGCTAAAAGTAAATGACTATCATTTAAGTTTAACATTACATATTTAAAATGTATTGATGTATTCTTTTTTATTACTTGAATACCCTCTGAAGTCTTGTTAGGTTTCCTGTGCCCCTACAGAATGTGCCATAGAGGGGTAGAAACCCAGTAGAGAATGGGGAGGTCAGCAGACATTGGTTGGTCATGAAGTGTGTACGTGGTCCTGTCCTTGAGCTAACCTGTCCTTGCAGCTGCTCTGAGGGCAGAGAGCACTCTTATTTTATGAATGAGGAAAGGTTAAGTAACTTCTCAAAATCGCATTGCCATGAAGCAGCTTTTTTTTTGAATCTGTGTGTCTCTGACTTCAAAACTTTCTTTCACTGCCCTCTTTCACTGAAGATGAGCCAGTTGGTATAGTAGGATGTTTTCTAGGCTGGGAACAGTTCTGACTTCGCCTCATTCTGCTTTAATAATTATGTAATCCCATGTGTGTCACTTAACCTGAGCCTCCATTTCTTCATTTGTTAACTCCTGCTGGGCCTTACACTCAAATCAGATATATATGATACCAAATAGAATAATCGGTGTGCAAAGATAATGGATTACTATTAATAGATAAAAAAAAGAAAATAAACAAGTGTCTTCTCTTTGCTAGTGAATGGCCTAGACTTTAAGGAGAGAGTAATTAGAGACAACCTTATTAATCTAAACTGCAGAGATGTCAATGTGAAGGGCTTAGGGCATTGGTGTGATTTCCTGGTAATTTACTAGAGCTCAGGCGAGGTAAGTCTTGCATGGGTTGATAGCCGTACAACTGTCAGTGTCCAGATCTAGGAAGATAACTGATTCCATGGCACTTTAGCTGGTCAGAGGATAGTGGGAATACAGTGTCAGGACTGCATTGTCACACTTTAAGGGGGACCCAGACGAGCCAAGAACACTGAGAGGAAGGTGAGCACTGTCATGTGAGAACGAGATGAGGGCTTACGGGCGTTTGCCCTGTAATGGGGATGTGGCCACTGTCTTTGAAGCTTTGTTGGACTGCCTTTTGGAAGGTAGACTGGCAGTGTTCCATGTAACTTGGAAAGACAGAAGCGAGACCAATGAGTGGATGCGCCAGGAATTCAGGTTTGGCTCGATATAAGAGCTGATCTTCTAACAGTGTGACCATCCCAGCAACGACACAGTGTGCGGGAGAGTACTGTGGTCAACGGGTTCATAAATTGCACTTCAAAAATTCCTTAGGACTAACATACTGTCAGTGAAGTTTAGCTCAGTTTCTCTCCATTTTTGGAATAGATTGTTGTTGTTTTTTTTGGTTATGCACCAGGTGAGATAGTTGGTGTATGTTTAGGAGCCAAGTTTTATAAAATAGTAATAATAATTTAAACTTTTTAGCCCTTTAAGGCTGAAGACTTCATATATATATAAAAACTTTTTGATCATACCAGCAATTCTGTGACATTGGTACTATTATTATCCCAATTTTACAGATGAGGAAACTGAGGCCCAGGCAGGATTGATTTTATTTTTTTGGTTTTATTTAAATAACTGGATCAGGGTCAGCTGGTTAGTAAGTAGTAGAGTGGAGTCTGGATCCAGGCAGACTGGCCTGGTGAGGAGTGTGTGTGAGCTGAAGCCGCTGAAGGGAAGGCGTGTTGATGCTGGCTAGTCCGGCCCGTCTGGGGCCCAGGCCCACAGGTGGGTTCGGAGCAGAACTGTATGCTTAGTTTAAATATATTCTCTTCCCATACCTTCTCCCTGTTTCTTTTCTTTTCCATGGCAAAGTACCTATAGCTGACTTCATTTAAAATAAATGTCCATATGATTATCATTCACTGAACCTCCAGGGTGGGGTCCCTACTTCTAGAATTATTCAAGTGAAACTAGCTGATTATTTATTAAGGACTTACAGGAAAAGTTCCTTCATTTAGGGGCAAATTACATCCTAGGTTCTGTCCAGTTACGAAGATTCTATGGTATGTTGGATACAAATTAAATGTCCAACAATAGGGAAATAGTTAAATAAATTATGTCACACCCCTCCAGTGGATCAGTTTGAAGCCAAAAAAAATTATATTTTCTAAAATTAATGGTATTGGAAAGTGCTTAAAAGAAGGGAGGAAAGCCTGAAGCTATATATCAATTATTTTAAAAAAGGTGTGTGTATCACATGTGAGTGTCTACATATACACATACCTGAAAGAAGGTACAATAATATCAATCAGTAAGACTTTTTCTCCTTTATCATTTTCATCTAATTTGTTATAGATGCAGCTGTTAACATCAGTTTACAGAATGCAGTTTCGAAGTCAGAAAACTCAGTAAACATTTTTTAAGAGATTATATGAGTATCCAAAATACTATTCATTTTTAGTGAAAATGAACTAGTAATTAAGGAGAACAAAACCAGTTTTTACTTAAAATCTGTTCCTTAGGGGGTGACAGGCTTACTTAGAGCTATTGTAGCATTAGTGTATCTCTTTACCCCTTTGCTATAAAGTTCCTGACTCATGAACGGACTGGAGGGAGATTGCTGAAGTGATCTCTTACTGAGAATTGCTGAGAAGTTCTTCCAGGCAAGCAGAGGACTTCTGGGACCTGTTGACTATGGGAAGCAGAAAGTGATGGGGCTGGAGGTGAGGTGGGGGCAGTGCTTTCCCTGAGCTGACAGAGGATGGTGGTGGCTCACTCTGCTTTTTGTCCCCTACAGCATTTTATTATGAAAAATTTTTTAAAATACAACATCAGTTAAAAGAATTTTACATTGAACACCCATATCTACCCCCCATATTCTACCTGCTGTTAACGTTTTACTGTATTTATCATGTCTCTTTCTGTTCATCCATCCATCAACACATCTTATTTTTTTGGTGCATTTTAAAGTACATTGCCAACATCAGTTTACTACCCCCTAAATATTTCAGCATGCATGTCATTAACTAGAGTTAAAGATTTGTGTAGTTTTTTTTGTTTGATTTTAAATTTCCCTGCAATGTAACATGCAAATCATCACTTGCTGAGTTTTGACAATTGCATATATCTGTGTAACGCAGACCTCTATGAAAATAGAATATTACTATGACCCCCAGAAGTCTCTTCATGTTCTTTCCAGTCTACACCCCACTTCCCAGGGCATTTCTGTTCTCATTTTTTTTTCCCACCATAAATCAGTTTTGTCTGTTCTGTAATTTCTTATAAATGGAACCATATAGTGTGTGCCCTTTTGTGTCTGGCATCTCTCACTCAGTGTAATGTTTTTGAGTTTCGTCCACATTGTGGCATTTATCAGTCGTTCTTTGTCACTGGTAGTATCCCATTGTGTGGCTGTACCACTGCTGGTTTATTCATTCTTCTGATAAACATCTGGACCCTTTTTAATATTTGGCTGTTATGAATAAAGCTGCTGAGAACATTTATGCACAAGTCTTTGTGTAGACATGCAGTTTCCTTTTTCTTGGATAAATACCTAGGAATAGAATTGCTGGGTCATGGGGTAGGTCTATAGTTTTTTTTAAGAAACTGCCAGACCTTTTTCCAAAATGATTGCACCAGTCTGTGTTCCTATCAACAGCATCTCAGAGTCCCAGTCACTCTATCTACTCACCAGTATTTGGTATTGTCAGTCTTAATTTTAGCTGTCCCAATGGGCATGTGGTGTATCTGTCTGAGGCTTTAATTTGCATTTCCTTGATGACTAATGATGTTGAGCACGTCTACTGTTGGCCATTCATGCCTTTTTTTGTGGATTCGTGTGGATTCTGTTCAGCTCTTTTGCCCATTTTTTAATCTGGTAGTTTCTGTAACATCCATACAGAAAAGTGCCATTTCCTTAGCTTTTGTACATCCCATAGCCTCTTTCAGAAATCTTTGACCTATTTGTTATCATCTTATGTGCGGACACAGGACATTGAGGAAAAGGGCCCAGCCTAGGAGACAGATGATGTAGTGTCACCTAAGGTCTCAGTGTCCTTATTTAGGAATAGTGTGAGTGGGGCTGATGATTTCCACCTTGCCTGTCACATGACTATGATGATCGAGGATATAATATATGTGACAGTACTTTGCAAAGCTCCAGGAAAGTAGAAAAATCTATGTCTGGAAGACAGGCCTGATCTTAAATTCTTGACATGTTAACAAAGATATGAAGTATTCAGAGGAAAAGTCAAAAGGGCAGAAAGTTAATTGCTAATCCTCGTATTTCTCTAAATAGAAACAATTTGAAGGAAAGGGTAATTTGAATGGATGCAGTTAACTTTCATAATAAGGGTCCAAGTCTGATGAGCCTTCACTCATTCGCAGCTGGTGCACGTATCTTCTCAGTGACTTTTTCTTTTTCAAATCTAAGATACAAGAGGAAAGGAGACTCCTGCCTTGGAATTAACCCTAAAAAGCAGTGTATTTCCTGGGAAGGGGCTTCCACAGAAAAGAAACATTCACACAAGCACATCGAACGTTATTTTACAAAGAAGAATGTGGGATTAATGAGCACAGATGGAGACGCCGTTAGCAGGAAGCCTGAACCTCCATCCTTGGAGCCAATCTCCTTTATCCCAGTGAAGGGCTCAGATGATGGGGTTCCTCCTGCTGCAACCTGGTTGAACCCTCTGGGGATTTATGATCAATCCACCACACAGTGGTTACAAGGCCAGGGTCCTTTGGAGCAAGAGTCCAAGCAGCCAGACTCACAGCCGGACAGAGAGAATGCACTTCTCAAAGCCAAGGTGGAGGAGTTCAACAGGAGGGTCCGAGAGAATCCTCGGGATATTCAGCTGTGGATGGCATTTGTTGCTTTTCAGGTAAGTGTCACAGTTCTCTTACCTTAGAATGACAGTCCTAATTTTGAGTACACCAAATTACTCTGCAGCAATTCTTTAGTTTCTGTGAGAAAGATCATCAGAATATAGCCCTTGCCCTGAGTTTGCTCAGAGTCCAGTGACGAGGACCAGCGTGAAGACTAACGCCATCTAGGTAGTAAGTGCTCTGCTGTGTGACTCAGGGTTGGCACAAGGCAGTGGCCTGTCACTGGGGAGTAGAAGAAGGCTTGCAAGAGGAGGCGAAATTTGAACAGAATCTGAAAAGAAGAGTAGCAGCTCGCCAGGCAAGCAGAGCTGTTCCTGACGTACAAGCAGAACATGCAAAATGCACCGAATTGCAAGAGAAGACGCTGCTCACTAAGTCCCCACTAAGAGCTCTGTGCTCCCTGCCTGATGCATGCGGATTGGTCTTTGTCCCACTTACCTTTTTTGAGCCAGTTATACCATTTTGTCCTGTATTTGGCTGTTTTATGGATAAAATTGGCTCTTCAGGAAAGGTTTTCAAGGCATTTTATGCTAGTCATTGATACATAAATCTAAAATGGGAGAGAGTAGCAGGTGAAGCAGGTGAAGTGAACACAAGATCAAACGTGTTTGATCATCAAAGTGACACAGGCACTCCAGGAACTGAATTTTCATTCAGAGAAATTGTGACAAGTAAGTGGTTATCAAGAAAGTGAATAACGCTTCATTTTAAGGTGAGAAACGTGTTGGGCTTGTAAGTAACTGTATAGCGGTGTTGAAATTCTGAGGACCCCCTAGTTCCATTTGCATTTGTAAATTGGTGTTTTTCTTGTTGAGGATGAGGTCATGAGAAGTCCTGGGCTGTATGCCATCGAGGAAGGAGAGCAGGAGAAGCGGAAGAGGTCCCTGAAGCTCACCCTGGAGAAGAAGCTGGCCATCCTGGAGCGGGCCATCGAAAGCAACCCGAGCAGTGTCGAACTGAAGCTCGCCAAGCTGAAGCTCTGCACAGAGTTCTGGGAGCCCTCCACGCTGGTCAAAGAGTGGCAGAAGCTGATATTTTTACATCCCAACAATACAGCCCTTTGGCAGAAATACCTTTTATTTTGCCAAAGCCAGTTTAGCACCTTTTCAGTATCAAAAATTCATAATCTTTATGGAAAATGCTTGAGTACTTTGTCTGCTGTTAAGGATGGCAGCATCTTATCTCACCCTGCTTTGCCTGGCACCGAAGAGGCCATGTTTGGTAAGAAGTTGATGATCTGATCCATTTTCATGGGGAGGTTTTACTTTCTTTCGGCTTTAGTTGTAAATGAAGATTTGTTTTTTGTTTTTTTTTTAGGAAAACCTAAATTGATAAAACTGACTAAGAAAAAAAAGTATCATGACTCCTTTTGATAACAGATTCTGTCTCCCAGCTTCTTGGTGGGTGTAAGGGGTGGGCATTAGAGCCAGTAGAGTTAGTTGTCACTGGACTAGAAGTTCCAACTTTTCTACTTATTAACCAAGGAAACAGTCCCATTTCTTAACAGTTTTGGCTGTTGGCCTTATAGCTGAGGTTCCTGTACTACTCACTTGATTTCAGCTGTAGGATCTTAGGCAGTAATCATGGGAAGCCCCAGCTGACTGGGCATCAGTGCATAGATGCAGGTTATTGATGTTACACTGTTGACATTTTTGGTGTGTCCCAGAAGAGCCTAGAATTTAACTTGTATCCAGAATGAAATACAGGAATACAGGAGGCAGAATGTTGTGCAAGACTGAAGAGTCTCTCTTGACTTGAACCTGGGTGTGCCCTTCCTTGGTACTGCTGTGACCTTAGATGGGTTTCTTAACCTCTCTGAGCTCCAGTTTGTCCCAGTGGCAGTAGTGTAATACCTGTTTTATAGCGTCATTGTTCACATTAACTGGGATAGTGCCTTGTGTCTGGCACACAGCAGACATTCAGTTAATCAAAACCCCACTATTACTATTCTGAAGATAATACTGCTCTAGAAATAATAAGCATTCACCACACTGCCATAAAAAGTCTCATTTGATTATTTGTGATATGCTCAAATAGCTTAGTGATATTTAGTAAATGGGATTTTACCACAGTTAAAACAAACTGACATTTTCAAACATGGAACCTTGATTTGTTGACAGCAGACCCAGAGCATATGATGGAAATTGGTGATGCATAATGCCGTCTAGTGATCATTTGGGTACAGATGTTTGCCTTCTGATAAAAAGCCACTATGCCCATCCTTTTCCTAGAACTTTTCGTACCATGGCTTTGAGTATTTGATAACCAATATTCAGACCAACCTCTCTCACCTGTTTTTACGTAACATAGTTTTTATTGTTAATACTTAAATTCTTTGATAGTTTCATATAAAAACTAGAATAAATGTACTTTGATTACAGTACGGTCATGAGTGCTTTTAAATCAGGACATGTTTGTATTGCAGCTTTGAAAATATAGCAGTAACTGACTTCAGGGAAAGACGTTCTTGGCATTAAACTGTATGTTTTTAGAAGTTGCTTTCCTCCCTTTAATGGTGGTAACCAGGATCCATCCCCTTTGCCCCCGTTTGCAGCGCTCCTCCTCCAGCAGTGCCACTTCCTGCGGCAGGCTGGTCATTCTGAGAAGGCCATCTCTCTGTTCCAGGCCATGGTTGACTTCACCTTTTTCAAGCCTGACAGTGTGGCGGAGCTGCCCACCAAAGGACAGGTACAAGTTGTGCCATGTGATCGTTCATTCTCGCTCCACCGCCCCTCGCACCCTCCCTGCCCTTCTCTCTCTCTTGGAGAGGAGGTGTGGATAATGGGAGTTGGTGGTAAATACTTAAATGCCACCTGCTCCTTTTTATCAGTCCTGCTGAGTAACGTTTCTCAAAATATTCTGGTGCCACAAGGAAAATTCCATAATGAAAGAATGAAACGTGGAGAGATGAAAGATTCTCTTTTCCTCCCCAAGTATAAGAACTCACTTGCGCCCCCTTTTGTTTCTTACTTAGAGCCAGCCTTGTTTAAATGCTAGTTACGCCCACCAGCCAGGGAAGCAGTCCTCACGCTTTAATCTGCCGGGCACTCTCTGGGTCTTGGGTCGCTTCCCCAGTTAACCTTTCCACTACCTAAAATCTTTGTGGGAGTTGCAGATGAAATTACATGCTGGTGTTTTGTCACATCAATCCCTATTGGGAAGGGGTTAATCATTTACATGACAGATGAATATTGCCAATATTTGTGACAGAAGCAATTAAAAAATTCTTAACTTAGAGCCATCCATATAAGAAAACCTTTCCCCTTTTTCCACTGAAAAAGGGTATTCTGCAAAGAGGGCCTGGTGAAAGATGAATCAATCGTCTGTCTGTATTTATGGTAAATTTGCAAAGGTCTTTCTTGAGCGGCTGAGGTCTCCCATCTTGTGCAATTTCCATGAACTGCCTGTAAAAATTTTTATCATCATTATTTATATAGATATATATTTTTTGTAGACAAGGTTGGGTTAAAGAATATTGGTCAGTGTTGGTATAATTGACCATTAGCATAGTAAGCTGGGTAGCGAGGTTATTTTAACACATACTGTGCCACAGAAGTGATGCTTGGCTGCCTGTGGAGCCCTGAGTGTGTGGCTGGGGCTCAGGGTTAGAATGGCCCTCACCCCTTCTTGGCTGCCTCTCGCTGTCTGTGATGGAGGAGCCACCAAGGGGCACAGGCCAGGACTGTGAGCGCTGGGGACCCCTCCTCTAAAATGTCGAGGGCATCTGATGCACACTCAAGAGTTTTAAATACTGACAGCACATGTAATTTCAAAGCATTCACATGAAAACTTTGAAGCTTTTTACTTAATGACATTCTATATCTTTACAGCTGAGAGACATTGTTACCATAAACATAGCTGTTTAACAACAAACAGAGTCTGGCATCATTCATCTGTGTTTCTGTGGAATAAGCAAATTGGTTATAGCCATTTCTTGCACTTTAAAAAACAGTACCCTTTTTCTTGAGTGCACTTTCTTCCATCTTTCTTCTAAGAGCAAGACCTGGGAAGGGGGACTGTGGTCTTCCCAGCTGCCCTTCCTGAGGTGTGACCTACACTCTGAGTACAGGGCCCCCGTCAGGACATTCGCCTGGCCCTCCCTGGGCTCTCCTGGATGCGGCCCCTGCCAGGTGTGTGCAGCAGCCCCGGGGGTCAGGGCGAATGATCCTCTGGCTCCTGGCCCAGGATGGAAGCCTGCTTGTCCTTTTCCAAAGGTTTTTAACAAACGCTTTCATTGAGCAAGCTTTTGGCTCACTTTTAAAGTCCTTATTAGTGGATAACACAGTCACTTTACTGTTCAGTGTTCTGTTCACATTCTGTCCCGAAGGGAATGATTTACTGCCACTGAGCTGGTTACCCACACACTGCAAGCTAATGCCCAAGTGAATGAGCACAAGGGTGTGATCGCAGGGCCAGGCTAAAAACAGGCAGACATCTTTGCTCACTAGATGTCTGCCATGCTCAGCTTGGTGCCAGCAAGCATTAATTGAGTCCCTACTCTGCTTTGGGCACTGGGCCACATGTTAGAAGCATACATTTTGTTGAGGTACTGTCATGCCCTTAAGTCTCAGTCTGTCCTGTCGCAACTCTGAATCCCCTTTCCCTCAAAAGGTCTTGAAAGCAACATGACTTCAGTATTAGTTGGGGGCCCAGTGTCTGTGGGCACTGGGCATGCCACCGTCCCAGGTTAGCCTGGCCTGCCAGGGTCAGAACTGGGAGTCCGTTGCCCTCCAGCTGAGCTTTGGGCCCTTCTTGGCGACTTGGCCTGTCTTTTTGTAGCCTGCTCTCAGAAGTGTCATCTCATTGCTTTTTGCCATATTTTTTGTTGGAAGTCACTAGGTCCAGCCCATACTCCAAGGTGTGAATACCGCAAGCAGGGGTAGGATACTGGGGGGCTGTCTTGGATGCTGGCCACCCCGCTAGTTAATTATTTTTTCTGTTTCGGGGTGTGTATCATATATACTTTAAAGACTGATGACAAGATCTCAAGAATCATAAGCTCCTCTTTTGCCGGCCGGCACTCACTCGGCCTAGTGATTAAGCAGTTTTGTTACAAGTTAGGCTAACCTCCGTATTCTAACCCTGGACAGGTGGAATTCTTTGAGCCCTTTTGGGACAGTGGAGAGCCCCGGCCCGGGGAGAAAGGGGCTCGGGGCTGGCGAGCGTGGATGCACCAGCAGGAGCGCGGTGGCTGGGTGGTCATCAGTCCAGGTAGGGTACCTCTCAGTCGGGATGTGTGTGCCTTTTCCTTCTGGAACTTGTTTTTACATCTTAATGATTATTTGTGTATATATGTGAGCTATTATTAGTAACTTAACAACATTGCACAAAATCAAAATGTCAAAAATATATTAAGTGGATGTCCTGGGAGAATAGACTGTTTCTTCCCCTTAATCTTTAAAGCTGTTGACCCTTCATTCCCTCAGTACCCCATGCTTTTGAGGTTTGAGTTTCATTCCAGAGGAAGTACTTCTTGTTTTTCCTTTTATACGTTGCTCCTGAAGGAGCAATATTGTTTCTGATCCCCTGCCCCTCATTTTAGTGTGTACTTAATACAGTTTTTGTTTTCCTGGCAATGCACCGACTAATAGATCCATTGAAAAATACTTGACTTTTTAGGAAGCCTATAAAATAATTATTAATAGCATTTATATAGCTGTCACTCTAAATGATCCCAAAGTACTTTCCAGATTTACTCTCTAAGACAGAGCCATCCAACTGGAAATATAATTCAACTATGTGACTTCACATTTCCTAGTACCACATTAAAGTGAGAAGACAGGTGAAATTAATTTTGGTAATGTATTTTATTTAACCTAGTATATCAAAACATGAACATTTCAACAAGTAATCACTGTTAAATTAATGAGATATTTTGCATTCTTTTTTTTTTTTCATGTGAACTCTGAAATCTGGTATGTATTTTATACTTACAGCACATCTCAATTCAGACCAGCCCCTTTTGAGGGCTTAACAGCCACATATTAGCGGCTGCCGTTGAGGACAGTCTAGCTCTTTCCCACTGAGGAATTGCTTCCCTCCACAGCCTTGCTGAACGTGCAAAGGGGCAAAGAGGCCTGGGCTCTTCTCACGGGTGTGACCTTCCTGGGCCTTGTTCTCCTCACCTGAGGAGTGAGCCTTGGATTAGCTGCGCACCGCGTGGCAGTGCAGAGCTCCAGGCTGCACGGCAGCTCTGTCACCACGGAGGAGGGGCGGGAGCCTTTTGGGCTGCAGGGTGACTTCGTTCTGGCAGCGCTGGCGGGTGACGGTCATTCCTCACCAGGGCTGCACGAGGCTTGGATGATTTTACTTCCTTTGAGCGTTCTGTACTAAAAAGAACTGGAACTGTTCTTCAGGCTGACTAGTGGTGAAGGATGAAGAAACCTCACCTGTGGTGCAAAACAGAAGTAGGTGCTGCATTTTTAGCCCCTGGGTCTGCAAGACCGCATGAAGCAGTCTTTTTGGCAGTAGCTCTTCTTTCTCTGAGTGACCACCTCACCATGGTTCAGTTTTCAGGTGGTTCTGTTTGTAACGTTGTGTTTGTTAGTGAGCAAGACCTTTCCAAAGCATAGTACTTATGTTCTGAATTTTACCATATTCTTCATGTCTGTGAGGATAGAGTTCTTACAGCAGTGTCCAGAGGCCAAGCTCACATTATTTCTCAGATTAAGTGTTCAGATACCTAGTAGTCACTCATAATCAGACGTAAAGTTAGTTTTTTGGTGCAAGCATTGAAACCTTGATTTTTAATATCAGGTTAGGGGGATGTGTGTTGGTGCTTGCATTCCCTGCAAGCTTTCCAGACATTTCCACTATAGAGAATCTTCTACTGAATTTAATGAATTTATTTCTAATGAATTTAATGGGAGTCCCCCCAAAATCCAGCAGAAGAAAGGTTGAAAGCTTCTTATTTCCAGAAAACTAGTTCATTAACTGTTACTCGCTTTTAAGTTCCCTTGTCCATCCTTACAAGGTTGGCATTTAGAGACTAGTTGGTATTTATCACTGGTTTGGAATGATTTCTCCAAAACCATGTAATCTTTTGAATTCCTAATGTAATAAATCAAGGTATCTAAATTATTTATTACTCACAGGGATAACTTCTTTATGGTAAGAGTGTTTCAGTCTGACTAAAGTGTTATTTTAAATATAGATCTTTAGAAGAATAGTTAAATTTTAGTGTTGTTATTTAAGAAATTCAGAAGAGCATTTAGATGAAATATTGGGTTTAAAATATGAATACACATGCATATAAATTGGGGGTTTTGCTTGTTATTTAATTGTCTTGAAATATTTATAGATTCACAAGAAGTTGGAAAAGCACACGGGAAGTTTTATTCATCCTCACCCAGTTCCCCCAGTGGGAGACTGTGCTGTACAATATCACAGCCAAGAAATGGACACTGGTCTCCACATACAGCGTGTATTCAGATCTCACCAGTTTTACTGCCTGCAGTTGTGTATGTGTTGGTATAGTACTATATGGTGTTGCCACGTGTAGCTTCGTGTAGCCACCACCACAGTCAAGATGGAGAACTCCCATCACACAGGCTCCCTCCTGCTACACCTTTTTAAGCTATGTCTGTCTTCCCCCTCCACCCTTACTCCTGGAAGCCACTGTATGCTCTCCATACCTATTGTTATGTTGTTATTTTACATAGGTATATGATGACATATGGCATATAACTTTTTTAACTTCTGTTGTAAAATATACATAAAATTTATCATTTTAACCATTTTTAAGAGTAGAGTTCAGTGACATTAGCTGTGTTCACACTGTTGTACACCATTATCACCTCTATCTACTCAACTTTTTCATTGTCTCCAGCTGAAACTCTATACCCATGAAATACTAAAGCCCCATTCTTCCTTCTTCTCCCCAGCTCCTGGCAGCCACCACTCTTACTGTCTCTGTGAATTTGACTACTTAGTAACCTCATATAAGTGGAATCATACAGTATTTGTTGTTTTGTGACTGGCTTATTTCACTTAACATAATGTCTTCAAGGTTCATCCAATGTGAAGCATGTGTGGGTATTTCCTTTTTAAGGCTGAATAACATTCTGCCATGTATATATACCACATTTTCTCTATCCAGTCATCTGTCAATGGACACTTGATTGCTTCACCTTTTGGCAATGGTGAATCATGCTGCTGTGAATGTGAATGTACAGAAACCTGTCTGAGACTCTGCTTTCAGTTCTTTTGCGTACATATCCAGAAGTGAAATTGCCAGATCATGTGGTAATTCTATGTTTAATTCTTTATTATTTTCCATAGCGGCTGCACCATTTTGCATTCCCACCACCAGTGCACAGTGGTTCTAGTTCTTCCACATCCTCACCAACACTTGTTTTCTGTATAACATTTTAAGACTTTTTTCCCACTTAGTCTGATTCCTCTGAGATTCATCCAAATTGTCACGTGTGTCAAGAATTTGTTCATATTTATTGCTGACCAGTGTTGGGTGGTCTAGATGTACCCCAGTGCATTTCACTGTTCAGCTGCTGCAGCACATTTAGGTTGTTTCCAGTGGGGGGCTACTATGAATAAAGCTGCTGTATATAGGGTTTTGTATGAACATAGGTTTCATTTTTCTGGGTTCAGAAGCAACGAGTTGCCGGGTGTTACAGTAAGTGCATGTTTAGTTTTATGAGAAACTGCCAGACTATTTTCTGGAGGGTTGTGCCATTTTATATACTGTTTATTTTTTTTATTATTTATTTTTTTTATTAAGGTATCATTGATACACACTCTTAGGAAGGTTTCACATGAAAAACATTGTGGTTACTACATTCACCCATATTATCAAGTCCCCCCACACCCCATTGAAGTCACTGTCCCTCAGTGTAGTAAGATGCCACAGAGTCACTACTTGTCTTCTGTGTGTTACACTGTCTTCCCTATAATTCCCACACACCATGTGTACCAGTCTTAATACCTATCAATCCTCTTCTCCCTCCCTCCTCGTCCACCTTTCCCTACCCCTCCCCTTTGTAACTACTAGTCCCTTCTTGGAGTCTGTGAGTCTGCTGCTGTTTTGTTCCTTCAGTTTTGCTTCATTATTATACTGCATAAATGAGGGAAATAATTTGGTACTTCTCTTTCTCTGCCTGGCTTATTTCACTGAGCATAATACCCTCTAGCTCCATCCACGTTGCAAATGGTAGGATTTGTTTTCTTCTTATGGCTGAATAATATTCCATTGTGTATATGTACCACATCTTCTTTATCCATTCATCTACTGATGGACACTTAGGTTGCTTCCATATCTTGGCTGTTGTGAATAGTGCTGCGATAAACATAGGGGTGCGTATGTCTTTTTGAATCTGAGATCTTGTTTTTTTGGGGGTAAATTCCTAGGATGGAATTCCTGGGTCAAATGGTATTTCTATTTTTAGTTTTTTAGGGAACCTCCATATTGCTTTCCACAATGGTTGAACTAATTTACATTCCCACCAGCAGTGTAGGAGGGTTCCCCTTTTTCCGCATCCTCACCAGCATTTGTTGTTGTTTGCCTTTTCTATGGTGGCCATCCTTACTGCTGTGAGGTGATATCTGATTGTGGTTTTAATTTGCATTTTCCTGATAATTAGTGATGTGGAGCATCTTTTCATGTGTCTGTTGGCCATCTGAATTTCTTTGGAGAATTGTCTGTTCAGATCCTCTGCCCATTTTTTATCGGGTTATTTGCTTTTTGGGTGTTGAGGTGTGTGAGTTCTTTATATATTTTGGATGTTAAACCGTTGTCAGATATGTCATTTAGGAATATATTCTCCCATACTGTAGGCCTTTTTGTTCTACTGATGGTGTCCTTTGCTGTACAGAAGCTTTTTAGTTTGATCTAGTCCCATGTGTTCATTTTTGCTTTTGATTCCCTTGCCTGAGAAGATGTGTTCAGGAAAAAGTTGCTCATGTTTATATTCAGGAGATTTTTGCCTACATTTTCTTTTAAGAGTTTTATAGTTTCATGATTTACATTCAGGCCTTTGATCTATTTCTAGTTTAATTTTGTGTATGGAGTTAGACAATAGTTCAGTTTCATTCTCTTACATGTACCTGTCCAGTTTTGCCAACACCAGTTGTTGAAGAAGTTGTCTTTTCCTCATTGTATGTCCATGGCTCCTTTATCATATATTAATTGACTATATATGTGTGGGTTTATATCTGGGCTCTCTGTTCTGTTCCATTGATCTATGGGTCTATTCTTG